ATTCACAACTGCCTGACAAAACTCATTTCCTGCTCTCTGCGTGTGCATCTAGAGTCTCACTCATCATAGTGAAACCATTGAAATGATTTGAGAAACAAAACAAAAACACTGTGAGGTTAATTAATAATAACCTAATATCTCAGTCAGTTTTGCTGTGCTCTTACACTGTTTGTAAAGACAGAAGAGGAAGGACAATCTATCTATCTGTATGTATAATATTATAAGAGCATAAATGTCAGATCACTTGAAATCAACAAGCCTCTTATGTGCTTTTATTCATGTAGAAACATTTACTCATTTGACTGACATAACAAAACAGCCAAGCATGAATCACTTGACAGTGACAAATTGGCTAGGTGTCATTTTCATCAATAAAGTGAAATTGGCATCAGGTCAGCAATCATCCATCAGGTCAACAGTCCCTGAATCCCCACCTGTTCATAGTCAGTAAGAAACACACACTGTAGAACCACGTGTAAATTTTCCAAATGGTTACCTTGATTTGAATTGACCACATACCAGTCTTTGTTCCAGGGAATTTGAATCCTGTCAAACAACAACATGAGTCACTCTCAATAATGACCTACCTAACCACTGCATCATGATCTGATTGAACATAATATGAATACATTTTTAATGGCACAATGGAAACCTGGGGCGTGCAAAGTTCCTGTCCTGCAAACGGTAGGATGTGTCTTTGTTTGCCAACAAAAAGATTAGACATTGTGTAATGAAGTTTAATAAATCCTATATGCTGTTTGGATGGTTGTTTTGCCTGCATCTTGACCTGTCCTTATAAACAAAATACTAAAACACTGTTGCTCTGATGCATCCAGTTGTGTCTGTGAATAGTTCATTAAAAGTTATTTGACAAAAAAAAAGTAACTTTACAGACTAGGTGAATGGACTGATTCTTTATATTGATTTTCCTCTCTGGAACACACAAATCAATTAATACAACATCCGTGATCACATGCGCAGATAAGTGCTTTCCATCTAACCTTCACAGTTGGGGTTAGTATCTTGGCAAGACAGACAGATCAACTGGGAGTTGAACAACCAACCTTGCTATCATTGATGCATGCTGTTCCTCTGAGCACAGCCACTCCACGTCTGAAAGAGGGTGAATGAGGCTTGTAGTAAAGAAGTGCTTTGAGTTCTTAATTTGTGAAGAAAAGTGCTCTATAACAATAGTCAGTTTATCCTTTTACATAATTTCATTTTTGGAAGTGCAATCAGACCTATTGTGATTCACCTTGACAAATAGCACGTAGCCATAGTTACACTTGGCTGAAAACACTAAAATGCAAAATAACAATTTGCTTATTTTTTTCTAACAGCCAGTATAATAAACACACTATGTAAACATTCCAGTGAAAGCTAGTACTTGCTTCCAGGTTATTTGAATCCTGTTAAACAACAACAATACGTTCCACTAGCAGTGAGACTCATTAGCAGCTGACCCTGTGCCCCAACCTACCAATTGACGCATAGTGTGAACTACAATTGCATTCCTAATTAAGACATAGGTTAATGCAAACTCAATCATTGTTTGACTGCAAACAACAAGGCACCGTGTGCAGGAGTCCACCTTTTCACCACACTTAGACATAAAAACATTATGTCGATTTTTATGTAATGAAGACAAGTTGGTGATTTTGGATTCCAGGAGATTTAAATCAAACACCACAAAAGACAAGGTGGGGGTCATTAGCTTCATAAAGTATTCAGTTAATATTTGTACTTTTCCATTATGGTAACTGAACTATGTGCTAATTTCCACAGACTATTATCTGAAGCTGGCGATACTAAAATGTTTAGCATTGGCCTACAGAGCATTTCAGACAATATTTTCTTTGAACTGTCTCATTTCTTTGTGAACTACGAAGTGGACATAAAATGTTCTTCTGTTCATTACTGTCACAACTGCAGGAGTTGTTTAGCATTTTTTTCTTTGAACTGACATTAAATGGGAATGTCAATGTCAACAAACAAAAGAAGTGCTAAAAAACAGTTCATTACTGTCACAGCAGCAGGAGTGAACTGTAACATCTATATCTAAACACAAAGAAAGACATAAATGGGATTTTGTTGAAGTATTGTGGCCTCACTTCTTGTTTATTTCTCAGGGCAGAAGAAGCTGAGCTCAAAGCTACAAGAAGCATGTCAGACAACACTTCTTCGTTTACCTTTGACTTCTATAGCTCAAGTGCATCGTATATTGTCACCACCTTCTTGTCACCAAGACGTTTATCATTCTCCCAATCTCCATCATCGTCTTGTACCTGGGGTACCAACGATGGCAGCGGCAGCAGCGTTCCTTTGCAGCAATGAGTCACTCTGACATATTTACCTATAATGTCACCATAGTTGAGCTAATATTTGTATTGGGGGCCACACTTGTCATATTTGGCTGGTGGTCTAATAACTTTGTGGCGGTTTCATGGGTATGTCTGCAATCACTATCAGCTACCCTGGAGAGATGTTCTTTAACACTGTGACATGTGTGGAGCGTTACTTGGCTGTAGTTCACCCCATCACCTATCTGGGCTGAAACAATCAGGTGGTGTCAGGATCAGAAATATCTGCATTGGGTTTGTCTGGTTGTTGTGCTTTGGGTGCGTTGGTCTAGCAGTTTCCTACTACCCTAATGTCCATATATTCCATATTTCTGTATGATTCTGGTCTCCTTAGTTATAGTGTCTTTTTGTAGCTTCTCTGTTCTCTGTGTTCTCGTTCGTCAGGGCCAGGGAAATGGGAGGAGACAGGCAGCAGATGAATCGGTCAAACAGAAAGCTTTCCGTACCATCACAGCCATAATGGCAGCTCTCCTTATGTCTTGCCTAGGAACACTTTTTACAGTTGCTCTGGGTACCACAAATCTGCTGAGTGATATAGACAGGTGTGCGATTCTAATGTTTTCATCCTGGGTTTCTCTGCCGTCAGCCTGATTTGCCTCTGCTGTTTTTACACAGAGCAGGAAAACTCTCACTTTGCCTTTCAGCAATAAGTAAATGCGGCTATCCATGTAAATATTATTTTCTACTTGTACATTTATTTTCGGTGCAATTTTCATCACCTGTTATGTCATCAAATCTTTATTGTATTTGTATTGTAATTTTGCATTGCTGTGAATACACACAATTAGACTCGACACCTCACCACTGTCGTGCCATTTTCATATGTCCAGCCCAGGCTCAGCTAGTTCCCTTTCACGCCTGACTTGCTCATGCAATAACAGAGTTCTTGTCTTGGGACACTATCATATGATTCTTTAGACACACAAAGGAAGATTGCAACACCTTCTGACCTTCTCTATACTTCTCCATCAACACTCTCAAGGAAATCATTGTATTGATAATGTTTTTCTTAGCATGGAGAGATGGTGATTGTCACCTCTGTTCTCAACCTCTTAACGTAGTATTTAGATTATGATGATTGTAGTCTTGTCAGATTACAACTATATTTAAATCAAATAGTGGTTGATGTTGAAGAATGTGGATTTTCATGTGAGAATGACCTGCTGAGAAATCTGCTTCAAGTGAAAGTAAAATGAGTGAACCATGAAGTGAAGTATAGAATTAAAAACATGTTATTTTAAAGTACAACATAGAAAAGAAGAACATGTATCAAGGTTTTAAAGTTTAGAGTTAAAATTTTGTTTTCAATCATATATGCAAAAAACATCAGTGTATGTGTGGCTGGACATCGAGTAATTGTAAGTTCACGATATGAATTGGATGTCCAGACAGGGGGAGGCAAAGGGAAAATGAGTATAAAAGAGGGTGCCAAGGAACATTCAGGGTTACTTGCTCTAGTTCTTGCAAGTTGCAGAAAAAAAATATGAACATGATACCCAGGGAGTCTATAGTTAGACATTATAGCAAGTAACGCCAGAGGAGCAGCCTTTGCCCCAAACCTTTCTGTTAGCTCATTTTTGACATGTTAGAAAATTAATTCAGAAAAATTTGGATATTCATGTTTTCCTGCTGCATCGGTGGGAAGTCATGCACATTTCTCTTCTGCAAACTCTCTCCTCCCAGATATTCGAACAAAATCAGCATTAAGTCAGAATCGGGTAATTAGATAAGAATAATTAGAGTGATCTGATCACATTTGGACACAAAAAAAGTAACCAGAACTGAACAATACTATGATTTCTCTGTACCTTCAGGGAAAACTGCTGTCTAGATGGTAAACACAGAGGCACATTAAAATGAGAACAGGTGGATACTTCATTTAACAAACTGCAGAGAATTATAAAAAGAGAGAGAGAGAAGAGAGACTTATTGGAAAATTTTTAAAATGCTAATTCATGTTAATGCTCAGTTGATCTTTAAATTGTTAATTGATAAGCCTGAAATAATAACCCTGTTATAGGGCAGGGATAGCTCAGTAGGTAGAGTGGTGGCCCATGATTGGAAGGTCGGGGGTTCGATTCCCCTTAACAGCTACCCTGAGGTACCCCTGAGCAAGGTACTGTCCCTACACACTGCTCCCCGGGCGCCCAATGGCTGCCCACTGCTTCACTGAGTGAATAGGTTAAAAGCAGAGAGGAATTTTCCCAACAGGGATCAATAAAGTATACTTTCTTTCTTATTTATAAAAACATTTATAAATAACAGTTTAACAGTTTAACATATTAAAAAATATTTCAAGGTTTTGTTTTTGTTTTTCTTTGTTGTACTACAAATCACTGATATTAGTATCACACCCACAATGGCGATCCAAGAAACAGATAACCTCACATGTGCACGTTACAAGTCAGAATTGCTGCTGTTGGTTTCAAACAAACATTTTCAGTGCTATAAATCAGCGGTCCCCAACCTTTTTTGCGCCACGGACCGGTTTATGCCCCACAATATTTTCACGGACCGTCCTATAAGGTGTCGTGGATAAATACAACAAAATAAAACTAGTACCGGTACTGAAAAAAAAGAAGATTTATTCATAACACATGTGAAAAGACCAAGGAAAACCGAGTTAACAATAAAAAACAATAACAAAACAACGCTAAAAAATGATAAAAACCCTGAAAACCATACATTTCACACCCCAGCCTCAACTCTCGCCACCCTGAACAAAACCACTCACGAACCGGTACTGGTACATGGCCCGGGGATTGGGAACCTCTGCTATAAATCACACACTTTAACAGCTTGGTTCCAATGATTTAAAAAAACAAAACACACACACTTCTTAATTGCCCCGTGGGTTTAAATAAAGTATTGTGCATTTAAATTGAAAGTATTAAATAGTGTTAGCTCTGCCTTGAAATGTCAATATAAACTTATGTAACTGCAAAGAAAACACTAGAGAGTAGTGCTACTAGTACTACAGGTTGCACAGTTGGGACTTTTTCTTTAAAAGAAGGGATTCAATGAGCCCCTTCTCAAGATTTCTGGACAGAATTGGACAGACATGGACTAAAATTATCATAAAACATAACTTTAAATAGGATAATTTTATTAAGAATTGTAAAAAATGTCTGACGTGATTTCAGACAACCGGTAACAAAAATGCAACATAACCCAGTATTTACTGTTCTGGAAACAGGGTGAATACTATTTAACAACATTTAGAACTGTAAATAAAAACCTTTTAGAAACAGCTTCTTCTTTTTGACATTTGTCAAATAAAATACCCTATCACAAAATGGTTATATATTACTTCAGTAAAACTTTTTGGCCTAGAGTACATATTTGACATTTCAGAGCTCTTGATTTCTAGCCAACTCCTCGTGTGCAGCGTTGTTGATGTTTTTAGCTGCTCTAATAGCTGATTTCATAGATGTCTCAATCCAAGCATGAGGGAAAGCTGTGTGCTCCCCAGCAAAGTGGACCCTACCTTCACTTCTGAAGAGCTCCTTTGCGTACTCTATGTGTTGGTATGGCGCGAAGAACGCAAAGCCACCCAAGCTGTATGGATCAATGCCCCACCTTTTCACCACCACCCCAATGCAGAGGTCCCACACCTGCTCACCATGAATCTTTGCTAAATCTCTTAATGCTAGCTCTTTAAGGTCTTCATCGGTCGCACCTTGTAAAAACTGGGCGTCATCAGCCCAGGTGTAGGAAGCCAAGAGGACACCAATTGTTTGATTTCTTGGGAAACTGTGGCTGGGGTAGTAGATGTAACGAGAGGGCCGGTCTGTGATACTCTTTCCTCCATGGATGCCATCGTCCACCCAGAACTTCCTCTTGAAGGTGAGGATGATTTTAGTGGAGCATTCATAGTGGACAGCCCGCAATGCCTCCATTTTTGGGATGGAGAGAGGTGGGTTGAAATCCAGGAAGAGGGCAGCTTTGGCTGTGGTTGTTACTAAGACGGCATCACCAGTAATGTCTGTCAAAGCTGACTCGCCCTTTCTTCTATATGACACAGTTACACCCTCAATTGACTGGCTGATGAATTTGACTTTGGAGTTGAAGAGGATGGGGCCATTAATGAAAGAGAGAAAAGCTTTGGGGAGGAGATCTGTCCCACCAGTTATTTCATCATACCTTAAAAAACAAACAAACACAAAAACACGAATGTCAGCCTGAGCTTTTGTACAGAATCAGTGCAAAGACCTTAGGACCATGCAGTGGTGACATAAACAGTTGAATTTAAGAGGAAATTAGTTAGTAGTCAGCATTTAGGAATAGGGGAACATTTCGCTACCTAGACGTGTAAGTAAATTATATTTACCATCACATTTCTTCGTTATTTACTTACTTTGATGTTACCCTATTCATGTTCAATTTTACAGTTGTAGTATTTTGTGGTGGGTGTATGGCAGATACATGGTTATAACCTCATATTTGTTTCCAGCTTGTTTGTTTTTAGTCTCAAATGTTACATATACAGCAAACTGGTTGCTTCCTTTGTGATTAAATGTTACAACATTAATCTAAGCGAGTAGCTGATATGAGTATAATTTTCAACAGGAATTATGAGAGATTCCCTAAGAATTTGCTTATAAGTAAATCCAATCAAGGAAATCCAACTACAACATTGTACTGGGTCAGGATTGTGAACAAAACAAGAACAAAAATAAAATTTGATTATTCTTTCTTTGCATTGTTCACGACTACCATCACTTCCTTGTTAAGTCTAATAATCTTACGTTGTGCTATCGCTGACATCATTCTCGACGTAGAGCATCTCAGTCAGAGCCAGATGCATCATGCTCTGTTCATTCAGTAACTCTGCAATCATAACCACTGCCTCTGGACTTAAACCACCTTCCTCTTTCAGGTACTCCTATAAAAAAAGAAGGTTGTACATGGTCTTTTAGTAAATTAATTTTTTTTACATTGTCCAATGAAGACCTAATATCATAACATGCACTATTTCAGAATATGATTCTGCACTTTACCTTTACTGAATAATGGTCATATTTCTTAAATGCAGCTTTGCATCCATGGGCTTTAATTTCGTCTCTCACCTTGAAAGAAAAGATACATACACAAGTTATTTCCAGTGGTTCTGTATGCAAAGTCAGAGCACAGCTCATTTAGTATTGCAATTTTGTTGACAACAGATGTCTGCATTGCATTGAGTCCATATTAATAACACGTCATCCAATAGAGTCGTTACAGGAATGGAGTCTGTTCCAGTTGAGTCTTGGTAAAACACTGGTACACCATTAGGAGCCTACAACACCTACAATTTTATTAAATATTTAATACCTACAAACATGAAGACAAAGCATTGCCCATTTGAATCTTAAAAAACTCAACAGCTCACATGTTAAGATTTGCATTTAATTGGTCCTTGAAAACTGTCAATTTGGTACATTTTCTTTGGCTTCTTGTGCATTTTAACCTTTAAGAAACTTAAAAAAAAATCTTTTGAGCTTTTTTGCCTTCATTTGAGAGTATGAAGTGACAAGAAATTGTTAACTTTAATTTTCAGTAACAGTGGGATAACCATGTGGAGTGTGTGTCTGCATGAATAAGTCAACACTTGCATTTAAGGCTTAGAGTCCATGGAGTGCATAAATGCATTAAATTAATATTTTATAGGACAACTGCTGAATCTGTTGTATTTTTAATAGACAGCTCTGCTATGGTATCACTCTGTATAAAAAGTGCCATGAATTCCTCCTACATCTTTACCTACCTTCTGCAAAGCCTGCCACAACAGTTCGTCAGCTGATTTCCCCCTCTCCCTCTCTGGCAGTTTATAATTCAGGATGTCGGGGTTTGCTGTCACTGCGTATGTCCTCGTCCTGTTCCGTTCATTAACCAAGTAAAAAGTGTTGGAGTCATACATGATGAATGGATTCAGCTTGAGCCCCATTTCTTTGATGTACCAGCGGATGATCCTGTTAAAGCATGAGGTCATTCGCTTGTTAATGTTTATAATGCAGTACAAAAACTGGTCCTTTGAGAGCAAAACTTGACAATGTTTGACATTCTTTTACTCACTGGTGGTTACTCGGTATCCTCATTGCACCCAAATCAGCATACCAGCCATTTTCTTCATCCCTGTAGGTCTCCACCCTTCCTCCCACACGAGGACTAGCTTCTATGATGGTTACCTTAATCAAACAGTTCAAGAGAAAAAGCAATAAACAAAAATATTGTGGAAAATATATACTTTTGCTGTTCTATCTTGGAACATCTAGAAACATACCATATTGTTATAAATCCAGAGAATTAGACACTTGTAATGCTCCAGGAGTGTTGTACATAAGCCATTAGGACTTTATTTATAATGAGTTTAAATGAAAGCTAAAAAAAATATGAGAAAGGTTGATAGGTAATTGTGTTTGTTCTTGTCTGCAATCACTCTCAAATCACATTCTGACCTCAGAAGAATCTTAAAAATGCCTCATCCATGCCATTTCACTACTGTGCACCTTTTTGTTTTACAGAAACATGAAGTCCAAAGACGTTTGTATCAAATTCAGACCTGAAATTACTTCTACTAGGGCCCAAAACACAACTTATGTGATTGATAACGTTTGTATGATTGTTAGCAGGCTCTTAAAAAATATATTTAAAGAGAATATTTACAAGAACTTTTTACCAGAGCCTTTCGGACCACTGCAAGACCGGACAAAATTAAAAATATTTATATATAATATAAATAGCAGATATAAGAATTCATTGTCTCAAGAAAATATTACAAACTAACTTCTTATCCTTCTGGATCCAGAATCTCATAGTGTGAAGTGAGCAAAATTACAAAATTCTTGGGATTTGTGTTTTGGGGTTGGAGATGATTTTCATATAAAAGAAAATTGCATTGACTGGATACAATAATTAGGCATGAATAAAAAAAATGTGTTAAATGTTTTTGTCCTTTTAAAAGTAAGGGAAGATTTTTAAACACTTTTAAATATAAAATGATGTCATTGGAACAGATGTATTCTACTTTAAAAAGAAAACATTTTCTTGCACCATTTTTTAACCTGCAGATGGCAGTGTTTGCATTCACTGGATGGACAACATAACTAGGCATACACATATTCAAATCTTGCATGTACCTTGTGTCCTGCACCTTCCAATAGCTTGGCAGCCGTCAGCCCAGCGATCCCAGCCCCAACAATAATAACATGATGAGACTTCTTGATCTGAGGAAGGCCAGTCTTCACTGTGTCCATGAGCTGATAATTATCGTCATCTTCCAGACATTTAGCCAGCTCTTCATTCATGCTGGCAACAGCAGCAGTGGGATACAAAGCCAACAGCAGCACACTGATGGCAAATGAATGGACTGAAGATAAAAAGAGATTTTAAAACATTTATGTTATGAATAACACATAACATACATATTATACGTATTATATTACATTACATATTACATAATCCATATAAGTAAATTTAAGTTTGTGGAGTTACAATTTCAGTTACTAATAACTTTGAGCTATAATATATGATGAATGTGCAAAAAACTTATTAAAACTAAAAACTTAAAGTATTTCTATTTCCCAATTCTCAAATTGCATAGAACAATATTCTTGTATGAATCGGTGTGACTAGGTGAATGAGGTAAATCCAGTAAAAAGCTTTAAGTACTCAGGTAGAGTAAAAAAGCACTATATAAGAATCACTCCATTTACCATTTTGATAGTCATATTGACTTCCTGGGATTATAGAATGTCAACACCAAGTGTTTCAGGACACCACGTGGTACGCACATTTTAATGATGATCACAAACTCAACAAAGAACAGCAAACTATGCAAGAAGAGCTCTGGAGCTCGGAATCATTACACATTTAAAAAAACAAACAAACATTACAGGAGTTTTTACATTTTCAAGACCAAAATTAAAGATTGCACCAGAATTACTCACAAAATTTCCACTTGGCAAATTGTGGCTTCATCTCACTTTGCTCAATGGTTTTCCTTATATCTTTGGCAGCAAGTAAAGAACAAGACGAAAAACAGAATTAGAATGAGAAATAGAAACTGGGATCTCGATACAGTACCTTTCATCTTCATATTTGTGAATTTCAAAAAGAGGAAGCATTTATATCCCAAAATTTTACCACAGCAGCTGTAGTTTTACTTTCACTTCTGCCAGTGCTTTGTAATACCGCTGATTTTTTTATTCTATTATCAGAGAAAATTCATTAACACTATTTACAAAGAAATGTTGTGTTCTCTTTTCTTTCTAAGGACAGGAGAACACAACTATTCATATCCTATATGATATCCATCAACATAAACCCACATACATGCTCAAATCCTGAAAGAACAGACGGGAGTGCAGCAGATAACTCTAACCCTTGGAAAAATTCCTCAAATACTTTTACTTTTCTAACTGCTTTATTGTTTTTTTTATCTATCTATACAAACTGATACATTTGGTGCTGCATTTATCTAATCCCTATAAACATTTTGTTTTACTTTGTAATAAAAAAGTCTAGAAAGTCATTTGTAGTCATCTTTTAAAAAGCATAAAAAATATGAAAAACCTGCACACATATAATACAAGTATTATTTTTACCAAGCAGAAATAAAACTATATTACCGTTTAAAAGAACTTGCTAATCCGATGTAACTCGTGTCTCCTCCTTGTCGTTCACTTCAGTTCACTCCTGTTTATACTACTCACCTGACTGCCCCATCCTAAAGGACAGGCTTGCCCCGCCTCTTTTGAAAATGAGGCTTCAGTTTTGGTTTCAGTTTTTCCCTGTCTCGTGCGGTCAGATGATATACATCCACTGTTTGGGTCCTATGATGAGAAAAATGTAACTTCCTTTAAATCTTTTATCATTCTGTCATTTGCTAAACAAACGTCTTTCCAGAAGTCACGTGTTTTCAGTGGCACCACATGCAGGACGTATATCTTTGAGCAGGTTTGATTATTACAAAGAAAAAAATGAGACTATAGACATTAACTTTGTATAACATTGCCACTTTATTGTGTGAAAATGCTCCATCACAAAAAGTCTTTGATACAGATGCAGTTTTTAATAATATATCTCTATCACCACTAATTTACCAAGGCCTTTTATATGAAAAGTGAGTAGTACAGCACAAAAAAGAGATCAATTAACAAAAGGATAAAAAGCTGTAAACTCTGAAACAATAATATTTAGTATTGTTACTTAGCTAATTCATGGAAAAGATTGGTTTGTAATAAGTAGATAAGTGGTTTAAGGATCCTTCTTTTGAAGATTGTTGAAGACTAAATATGTCAGACCCTAGAGTTCATCTCTTTTTCGACATTTAGCTGACTCTGAATTCAGCAGCACAGCTCTGTTAATGTTTTTAGCTGCCCTTACTGCAGATTTCATGGACGTCTCAATCCAAGCATGAGGGAAGGCTGTGTGTTCACCAGCAAAGTGGACACTGCCTTCACTTTTAAAGAGCTCCTTTGCATACTCTAAGTGTTGGTAGGGTGTGAACAGAGCGAAGGCACCAAGGCTGTAAGGATCCATGCTCCACTTTTTCACCACCACCCCAGTGCAGAAATCCCAGACCTGCTCACCATGAATCTTTGCCAAATCGCTCAGAGCCAGCTCTTTGAGGGCTTCACCACTTGCACCTAGGAAGAGTAGTGAATCATCACCCCAGGTGTAGGAAGCCAGGAGGACACCGATGGTCTTATTTTTTTGGAAACTGTGGCCTGGATAGTAGATAAAACGAGTAGGCCCGTCTGTGATGCTCTTTCCTCCTCGGATACCGTCGTTCTCCCAGAACTTGTTGTTAAAGGTGAGGAGGATTTTAGTGGAGCTGTCATAATGGACAGCCCTCAGTGCCTCCATCTTTTTGGGGGACAGAGGTGGGATGAAATCCATAAATAGAGCTGCTTTTGTTGTGGTTGTTACTAGGACAACATCAGCCTGAAGATCAGTAAGAGAGGACTGTTGTCCGGTTTGGTATGATACAATGACTCCTTTGTGTGAGTGACTGATACGCTTGACTCTAGAGTTCAGGAGAATAGGGATATCAAGGACAGTAAGGAAAGCTTTGGGGAGAAGATCAGACCCACCAACAACTTCAAAGTACCTATAAAAAAAGAGCCATAAAAATAACATTTTATTATTATTGCAGTTAATATCTGTAGAAAATTATTTACATGTACAATTCCATTTTTAGGTTCTAATGAACTGCTCAGAGCAGGCAGAAGCAAACTTTATTGCGTGTGTGTGGCTGTTGGATCACATTAAATGTTTGCATCTCTTCTGCTGCATGTTCGAACAAGTTCAGTCATCACAATGTTATGGTATCGTGCTTCGTGATGATAAGTGCTCCATACCTTGCGGCAAAGGTAAGGCCCTCATGATAAACATAGTGAAGCGCTTACGTAAAAAGAGCAGGATATATCAAAACAAGTCGTGCCAAATGACTGTTTAACTGCTCCGTGTCTTCTGGATGTTATCATTGTTTATTGATATGCTTGCATGCACTGGAAACTCATAGATACTTTTTTATATTCTACATAAAGACATGAAAAATTGCAGTTGCTGTTTGCAAACACATAAGATACATTTTATATTTGCAGCCTTTGCTGCTATGTTAAATGGCTCAAATGATAAAAAAGCACATTTAAGCTATTATATATTATTACATTAGTTTTTTCTTGGATTAATCATGTGTGTGACGGTCTCTTTTTGTGACCAAATGGTAGAGAAGCACTCTTAATTTTGTTTAAGCTCTACTTGGGTGATAATAAAGACATTTTAATTGTGTTTTTACACATAAATGTAAACATGAAGAAGGTTTGAGGAGTTGTCAGGCCCTACTTGGTGCTGTCACTGATGTCAGTTTGGTCATAGATCATCTCACTAAGTGCAGTGTACATAAGACTCTGTTCGTTGAGCAGCTCTCCAATCATTCTCAATGCTTCGGGGCTCAGATCTCCTTCTTCTTTCAGGTACTCCTATTTGCAACAAACAATTACATTTTGTGAACTCAGGATGTACATTAATATCATCTGATTAAATGTTTTTGCTAGTTTTACTTGCACTGACACACATTTGTGCTGTAACAGTTACAACCACCTCTTTCAGTTTTGTGGTTCATGGTTAAAAAGTAAAATGACGTAAGTAATTTTTTATTAAAATAAATATTTACTAATGTGTTTTTACTAGTTTATGTTATCCATATACCCTTATTTGTAATAAAATGTGGTAATCATTTAAATGTTTAACATTTAGAAATGCCAATGCAAGTACTCTGATTCTTCAGAATATATCCTCATCATTCACTTAGTCAACCAGGACTGTACTCATTTTACCATTCATTATCTCATTATGATTTATACCTTCACGGAATAATGGTCATATTTTTTCAGTGCAGCCCAGCAGCCATGAGCCTCCACCTCATCCTTTACCTACCAAAAAAGGAGAAAGAACAGTTGTTTATATGGAAAAAGTCCAGAACCTTACTTAGTGCATTGATTCTTTTTGCAATGAGCAGTCAGAAATGTCCATGTTAGTCTACAATATACTTTCATGACTGAAGGAGCAGGTGCAGTTGGTGAAATCAATTTTAATTTCTTGCTTTGACTTTTCAGAATATCTTCAGTCAAAACATTTGTCATGTTACATAGTGTTGAGTAGAAAATGTTTAAATGCATTTGAGTGTGCTTAATTTAGTTTAACTGCTTTAATGATTTGAACAGTTTAAAATTCAAGGAAACATACATGTTCATGCATCACTAACCACTCTGAGATTCCCCTTTTTTGTGCTAGTGGTCAGTGACGTGTTATGTGGTCAATAATGATGAAAAAGGGTTCCATTTTTGCAAAAGTTGCAAATTGAATAACTGGAGGAATTAGCTACTGTATGTTTCTCCATCCAACTCTTTTATGCCAGAGATGTTTGACTCGCTTCCTTTTTTCTCACCTTCTGTAAAGCTTGCTGAAGGAGTTCATCTGCTGACTTCCCTTTCTCACTTGGCCACACATTGTACCCAAGAACATCGGGATTTGCTTGTGCTTCAAATGTTCTTTTCCGCTTTCCATTAACATGGTAAAAGGTGTTAGGGTTATCCATGATGAATTCATTCAATTTGACCCCTAGGTCATCAGCAAACCATTGCACAATTCTGTAGAAAGACAAAGTCAGTGGTAGCAGAGTTAGATATATATGATCCCAGATGTTAAAGATAAGGAAAACACATGTTTGCGAGGTTTTCCTTTTGATTTAATGCACGCCTTCAATGGATTTAATCTGTATAGTTAAAACTTACCGGTGAAAACTTGGGATCCTCATGGCCCCCAGTTCAGCATACCACCCATCTTTTTCATTTCTGTAGGTTTCAACCCGTCCACCAACGCGACCACTTGCTTCTACAATAGTTACCTTGACAACCACATGATTTAGAATTAGAAACACAATAGTACCACTAGAATAATGAGTGCAATGCAAATGTTTATCCATCATAACAGATGGACTTTAAGATGAATTGTTATGGTTGTTATGCATATGTTTTATCGGTTAAGTAAATGTTTACACATTTGTGTAACAGATGAAATTCCTGGTTAGTTTTCAGAAGGAGTAACAAACCCTTTGGAAAATAACAAGCAAATGAATGATAAAAACAGCCAAACACTTGTGGAGAAAAAAGGATGGTGTTGTAGTGTTTAGGAAATATCAGTATTAATGGTATTTAGGAAATATTAATAACAATATTGTTACTGCTTCTGCTGATACAGCTATTGTTAATGTCTTGATGCATGCTCACACATGTCTGTAAATCTCAAAAGGTTGATTCTGTTTATAAGATTGGGCAAACCTGAAGTCAGCTGAGACTGAAGAAGTCACTTGGATGAGTGATGAAATGTTTCTCCCACTGAAAACGCTACGTCCAGATGAACAGAATCAACCTTTTGGGAACTATTGTTAATGTTTTTGCTGCTTGTTATGTGTCATTGCTTTCATTATAATAATCATACTGATAATGCAGTCATCTTTGTAGCCTCTATTCTAACTACACTTGCTAATGTTTGTTTTATTATTTACCATTTATTTACCATTAAATATTTACCATTACCATTTACCATACCACAAGTTTTTTCAAAAAGGTCTCAAAGACTTTGGAGTCAGACCTGTTACAGATCGTCAACTTTTCTTTAATGTCAGGTGTGTTTCCAGAACCACTAAAAACTGCTGTAACTAAACCTATACTGAAAAAGGACAATCTTGACAAGACACAAATGAACAACTACAGGCCGATCTCAAATCTCCCATTTTTAAGTAAGATCATTAAAAAAGCAGTTTCTCAACAACTCAATTACTTCTTAAAACAGAATAACTGCTTTGATGCCTTCCAGTCAGGTTTTCGATAGAACCACAGCACTGAAACCGCGCTGACCAAAGTGTTTAATGACAAATGTCTGAATACAGACAGTGGAAAAATGTCAGTCTTAGTTTTACTGGATCTCAGTGCAGCATTTGATACAGTTGACCACAACATATTACTCAAACAACTGGAGAACTGGGCAGGTCTTTCAGGAACTGTACTAAACTGGTTCAAGACATACTTAGAAAACAGGAAATACTTTGTATCAATACGTAACTTCATATCTGAGCAGACAAGTATCACATGTGGAGTTCCC